TTTGCAATCTTCTTGCCTCAGCCTCCTGTGTATTGGGATTATAGGCATGTGCCAAAATATCCAGCCCATTGCACCTTTTTAAAAAGAAATAATACAAATGCATACAAATGCATTTGAAAAAATTCTTAGATTTTAGTGTATCTATAAGACCCTATAAGTCTCTTATTTTCAGATAACAATAAAGCCATAAATTTAAGTATTTCATAATAATGCAATGTTTTAAAAAAATATTTTTTAGTGTAGGTGGACACAATAATACCTTTATCTTTTATTTTTATGTGGCACTGAGGATCGAATCCAGAGCCTCATGCGTGCTAGGCAAGTGTTCTACCACTGAGCCACAACCCCAGCCCAATAATGCAATTTTTAAAAACTTTTTCCCACCCTCTAAAAGGGTTTCCATTGTCAAAAGAAGTTTCAGATACAATCCATTTTGCAAAAGTCTTGTTGAACATTGGCAGTGTATATTGGCATATCAAAGGCTTCTGGAGATCCAACAACATAGAGGTTTGTTTTAACTTTGCTTATCTTATGGCTCCTCAGACCTAATAAATCACAGCATTGTCTTCCCCAAACATTAAAAAAATGGGGATCAAAACACACTTTGGGAAGTGTTATCAATGTTCAATCTCTGCTTCAGTTTCTTCCACCCTCAAGCCATGTCTCCCCAAAGGGCTTCCCAAACTTCTCCACCTTTACTCTAAAATGCAACCCAGAACCTGGCAATGACTATAACCTGCGGGTACCATACATCAACTCTGATTTGAAGGCACGTGCCTATAGCTAAGAGAATAAACTTCTCCTTTCAAGTTGGTCCTTGGTCTCCCCATCATGTCAGCCTAAGTTATTGTCAATTAAGGAGGCCCTTTGTTTTCTGTGCGGTTTTTGGTTTTCGTTTTTCAAAGTGGACATCTTTCCAAACTCAGCAGTGGCTGAAGCACCACCTAATTTTGCACAAGCTATCACAGCACCATTAGGTACTAATCTGTTCATTTGTAGCCACAGAGTGCTGTGCTAGGGTCATGTATATAACTTCTGCCTCCAGCCCTGTGGATTTATTTAGTGCTTAGTCCCTCGTTCCTGCAGCTGTGTCCTTTCAGTGACTGCTTTATAGTGGCCAAGAGAGTTGAGGTTGGCTGCCAGGACTGTGAGATCTGGAGGAACACATGGACACATTATTCTTTTTCTCTGAAGCTATCCAATTCCTGATCTGGTCAGATGGGAAGATAGTGGGAGGATATCTCTGAAGCAGCCCAATACTTACTGCTGATGATATTGCTCATGTCTGACATTATTGCAAGAGAGCAGGCTTCAATCTACCCTGTGTATTCTCAATCGGAAGGCTAATTATTAACGAAAGTATAATAATTTTTATAATTATTTATAAATAATTTTATAGTAATTTTCCTGGCTTTATTTGTATGAACTACTAGGGAGCCAATTTTTTTTTTTTTTTAAACACTCTAGGACTGTACACATTGGATCCAGTCTGCTTCAAACAAGAGGCTAGGAAAGAAGGGTTACTATGTTAATCGAATACTAATGAGCCTTTTGCTTAAGTTGGCTTTTGTTATAATTATTTGTAATTACCTTTCTTTTTGCTGTATTTATATAGATTGGGAAAATTACCTTGAAGTTAGCAAGATGCTTACTTAGCCTGTGTTTACAGGAAAATATCCTGCCACTTTTTCTTTTGTGCTTCTAACATTTTCAGAGTGTTTTGTTCAGCACTATGGAAAAGCAAAATATCATCATCATTATTACTGGCCTTTGTCCACAGTGGATTTCGTCCAGATTCTAACCAGTAACTCTGTGACTAACGATCTGAGTCATTAAGTTTCAGATGTTTATGCATTTCAACACAATTCCCAGCCTAAAAATTTATTTATTTATTTTTGTTTTAGGGCTTAGAATTAAATGCCCTTAGTGACACTGAATTTCCAATCTAGTATCACTAAGCAACTAGCTACGAATACCTAGGTGAATAGATTGAATTGTTCCTTCAAGAACAGATTCATATTGGCAGAAACCAAAGAACTACCAAAATGTCAAAAGATTTGTATGTACTTACAGGACAAAAGTCTCCAATCTGGTGGAGAATTCAGTTAATTATTAATATTTGTGTTTTCACCATGATAGTGGCACAAGATAATTTCAAAATTTAAAATGCAAAGAACCTATAACTAAAAGGAAGTAAAGGGAATGCCAGAAAAATGCAAACATACTTAGAAGTTACTAACTTTGCAAAGATGCATGTCTTTATTCTTGCAGATCCTTCAAAGAATTATTAGAAAATATACAGTCTGAGCTAAAACATCATTTTTAATGGAAAATTCCATTATTTTAATAATTTTCTCATTTTTCTATATTCATCCTCATACCAGTACCAGATTGTCACCTTGATTAGTAACTTAACATCAATTTCAAAAGTCAATTCCCTAATTTTTTAAAAAATATTTTTGTTGTTGAAGGACCTTTATTTTATTTACTTATTTATATGTGGTGCTGAGAATCGAACTCAGTGGCTCACACATTTGAGAAAAGCGCTCTACTGCTGAGCTATAACTCCAGCCCCAATTCCCTAATATTTTCACATGAAATAATTTTATATTTGGGCATGAATTTTTGACAGCATCTCCAATTAATAATATTTACAGCTTGATAGCATTTTTCAAATTCTCTCATATTTTATCTCACATTAGTTTCATTATTATATATAGTAGAAAAGAAATGTATTGCTCCCTTTCAAGATGAGAAAATTGAAGTATACTACATTGATATAACTGACTCAGTCTCATTGGCTGAAGTCATACGAATTATTACTAGAAACACTGGAATCCTAGTCTAAAGCTATACCACTAGATATATAACAGAAATTTGAGATTTAAAAAGAATTTTTTTGACTCTAAATCCTCATAATGAAGGATTAAGAATAAATCCTGAACAAATGAGTTGTTATTCTTCAATACTGGTCTTTGCAAATACCATTTGATATCAAATATTATATTGCATTAATGCTGTCCAATGTACAGAAGTATAATCAGACCATAGAAAATATTATAACATACAAAGATGATAAATAAAATGATTTAATTTTAAAAAACTACTTATTTACAATTCTGTGGTCTTTATGAAATGTCCTATAAAGCTCTATATGGGTGTTCTCAAATGTACATTCATAAAATTCCTGTTGTGTTTCAAAAAGTTACTTTTTGTTTGTTTGTTTTCATTATGAACCTACTGGGTTTTATGTTTAAATTAATGGTCTTTTCAAGGAAAAAAAGATTTATCAACCATTTCCCTTACATCTTCCACAATGTCAGGGCTGGACCACAGTGGTTGCTTTTTAATTTCTATGTTGCAACTACTCCTTTAATTTTTTTATCCTTTTCTTTTCTCAATCCTTCTTTCTTCCTTCTCTTCCTTCCTTGAGCCTTGGATGGCTAAGTTTGATACTGAAGCACTAAGGTTTGTGAACCACCCACAGCATGTCCTTTGGGTGTCTCTGACCAGTTCTGAACTCTGGTTCCCCCACAGATCTTCTCCACCATAACCAGTGGGAAGCAGTGTGACCAGCAAAGCTGCATTAACCAGTCCAGTGAACTCAAAAGTTTGATCATCATGATAGCTTTGTTCAGTTCCTGAAAATTCCAGCGAAATTGGTTATGAATATGATTTCTAGGCCTGGTCTTTGATTTTGGGGAAAAGAGGCAGACTACAGAAATGGTTCAATATAAGGGCCTCCGGACAATGACTGAGAGAAAAATGTTCATTTGTGCACTAGGAAACATCTCTCATTTATGCAGGGAGTCACCGCATGTCTGGTGCTTAATCTTGGAGAACGCTTTCACTGCACATAACATTTAGAAGACACATCAAAGGCCAGCGGTGCTGAGCATGGTGGGACTGCCACATCTGAGTGACTATTTTGCCAACCCAGAGTGACATGAACTGATAACTACTTTCCCTTCAAACCGGGCAAAATCAGCATTCCTTGTGCCAGAACCCCAAGATTATCAAAAGTGTTTTGGAGAGGCTGAGTCAAGGGATCTGTCTTCAATTCAGGGCTTCAGTTGGAAGCCGGGCTGTGTGGAACCTTTGAGGAGATGTCAGAGACCAGAGGCCTGAATACAGGGAAAGGAGGGCCCTGGAGGAAAAAAAGAACCAGGACATCGGGTTGGGAGGGAACTGATATTAGGGTTTGGATTTAACAACAGATTCATAAAACAAAGATTTCTAACCAGGGAGAGCCGTCGTTTTCAACTGCAACCTGAAACAACTAAAGTCTGACCGTCTGGTGTTTTGAGTGGTAAAGCAGATACAGTCATTTTATAACAACCTCTTTTGCCCCCTGCCGGGAACGCAGTTTTAAGGAAAGGCCCAACGTCCATCGCCAAGGGTATGGTCCTAGGTAAAAGCAATCGCGTGGCTCTTTGCAACTCCCGGCCCGGAGGTTGGAGGATTTGAAACCGTCCAGGATATTTTTTTGTCAACCAAAAAACTCGAGAACCCGTAGAATCGCGGCTCTTTCACGCATTTACTGGGGACAAACGGGCGCATAAAAATGTAGGGAGGAGTCAGGGAGACTGCTAGCCCGGGGGCTGGGGCGACGGATTTAGGAAGGCAGGGGGACAGGGCAGCGCTTTCTCTTTCCGCACCGAGCGAGCCGCCGGCTGCCTCCTCGTCGCGAGTCCCTGCGGGGCGCGAGCAGGCGACGGGGCTCACGAGCTCGCAGACGGACACGCGGCAGGCGGCGGCCGCCAGGGACGCGCCCGGGGCCTGCGCTCAGGTGGAGCGGGCGCTGCTCCGCAGCTGCTCCCCGCGCTGCGCCCCGGGGACCCACGGGGGTAGGGGGCGCGGCGGCCGAGGCGCTGGCGCCGCGCCAGGCTTGCTTTCCCGCCGGCTGGCCGAGGGCGGGGCGGCCCCGGTCCCATCCCCATCCCCACGTCCCATCCCCCAGCCCAGCCCGGGCCTCCCGGATCCTTCCCGCGCCGGTCTTTCCTTCCCGCTTTCCCCGGGAGAAACATGGCCGGGAGCTCGGAGGAGGCGCCAGACTGCGGGCGAGGCGTCGTGGTAAATGCAAACTCCCGATTTCGGGACCGAGTCGTGAGCTCCCGGCTCGCTCCCCTCCCCTCCCTTCTTGGCACCCTCCTTTTAGACGAAATGCCTGAAATGCCTTCGGGGGAGTGCGGGCCACTGCTTTGTTCTTCCCTCGCGGCGGGGATCCTTTCCACCTCCAAACCCAATCCTCCCTTCCCCGCCCCCCAAACTCACGAAACACCTAATACCGACGTGCCTTTACCCTGGTTCTCAATGTCCCCCCTCCTTCCCTGACCAAAACCGCTACGTTGGCGATAAACCTGCGTCTTGCGGGTCCCCACTCCTATAAGCCTCCAGAAGTCACTTATGCGAGCGGGCGGGTCTGGGAAGACCCTCACTTGCCATTCTGGCGACTGTCCTTTTTGTGTTGCACCCTGACTCCTCTAGTGTGGGCTTCAAGTTTTGTTTTCCAAAAAAGATACTGAGGATTCCTGAGAGCAGCTAGGAAATAAAGTAGCTCCCTTTATTAAAGTAGCTCTCCAGGACGGAGTAGGAGCTTTGAAGTCTTTAAACCTGGGGAGGGACTCTGCACAAGTTCTCGCGCAAACTAGTGGCTCTGGAGTGACCCTTGCCTCGTCTGGAAAGGGGGAAATAGCAAGCCAGGCCTGCCCAGAGAATTGGAGATCATGTGTGTGAAATATCTGGTAGTTTGTCCTGATGGAGAGGTCGGGGAGGGACAGACCTCAGCCTCTTAACCTGGGACTCCTTGAGGTGTGATCCAGATCCCATCTCTCAGGATCCTGGGATCAAATCATGGATGGTGGTGGTTTTGACACTGTCAGGTTTAGTGTGAAAAGGTGGTGAGGGAGATGAGTGGGGCTCACTTACCATTAAGATTCTCTTTCAAGTTCATCTTGTAATCCACAGACCATCTGTGAAAATGAATCCACTGAATTAGGATGAGAGGGTGGAGAAAGAAACACCTTCACTCAAATAGAACTGTTCAGGTTGAAATGTGGTTTTTAAAATTTTTGTTTTGTTTTGTTTTTGTGCTGGGAATCAAACCCAGGGCCATTCTCCACTGAGCAACATCCCAGCCCTTTTTATTTTTTATTTTTATTTTGAGACAGGGTCCTGTTAAACTGCTGAGATTCTCACTTAATGCCGAGGCTGGCCTGGATTGCCATCCTCCTGCCTCAGCCTCCTCTGTGATTATAAGCCTGAGCCACTGAGCCCGGCATGTTGCTCAGTTCATAACTTAACCGCAGGACCTTTCCTTCTTAGAGGTGGAGGTCACTTATTCATGCCACACATGTTGACTGGCCTGCTGGGTTCCAAGGGGTGTTTTGTTTTAGGCTCTGGCTATTGCAGCAAGGGGGCGAGACAAAAACCCCGTCTTCCTGGGACTTGCATTTTAGAGGAAGGACACAGGCAAGCAGTGTGAAAGTGCATAAGTAGAGGAGATAATTTCAGATAGTGATGTGCGCAATTGAAAGAGGGTAACAGGTCAGAGAGAAATTGGAGGAGGGATGGGGATCAATACTTATGCTCTTTTTGTGACATTTGAGCTGAGATCTGACGGGTGGGTAGACAGGAGGTAGCCATGCGAGGATTTCAAGACACAGGGCCACATACCAAATGCAAAGGAATCATGGCATTGATTTATTTTTTCAAAAATCACTCCAGTTGCCATGGAGAGGACGGACAGGACTAGGAGTGAGGTGACTGGGAGAGGGATAAAAATAAGAAAAGGGAAATCATTAAGTTCCAATCAATCAAATCTATAGGACTCACAGGTTGGGATGCTTTATAGAATCTTTGAAATTCACAATTGAATTCCTGAGAATAATAGGATAAATTTGGAAATCAACAACAAAATAGTAATATTTAATGTTTAAGAGTGAATGATGACATCCTGTGAAAATCAAAAAAGTATAAACTATTAAGGACAGATGCCTGGAAAGCCCCAAATATAAAAGGGGTGGGGGAACAAAGGGACCAAGAAGGAACAGCAGCATGGGAGAGAGTAGAAAGCTAGTAGGGCAGCAGGTAGGTGCCCAAAGAAAAATTTTATGGTAGGGGGTTGGTGGGGGGTCATGAGGTCATCAATAGTGTCAGATGCTGCAGGAAGAGCAAGTAAGATAAAGGTGGGAAAGAGGCCTTTGGTTTTAACAATTACAGACCAGTTCGTGGTGAGAATCCTTTAAACAACCATCCCATGGTAGAATGTTACAATGTAGTACTACCATATAATACTAGACACTCTTAAAAAAGAACAAAGTAAATCTAAACACACTATGATCATATAGGTAGATTACTAAAGCCTGAAAAACAAATGAGGTAACAGTGTAAATAGTCCAATTTATTGTTATCAATAGAGGCCCTCTTGGAAGCAAGATGCAGAGAAGTAGTGAGGGGTACAGGGAAAGGAAACACAGTTTGTACCAGCTCCTGTGGGGCTTGGATCTGATGAGTAATTGCTAAACTGCATGAGGGCCCATCAGAGCTGGAAATAATCAGTATAGGATGGAAGTGGCCCCTGCATATATGTCATCATCTGCAGCAGAACTTGGAATAATTAGATTAACCTCAAGTTGGGAATAAGCAGGCAAGTCAAGTTCAGAGAAAATTCAAGATGCTGATGGAAGGAAACTCCTAAGCTAGGGAGGGAAAGGAAAGCTGGAGAGAGTAAAATAGAGAACCCTTAAAGGTAGGGTGCAAAAAAATCAAAAGGAAGTTTTGGTACCAGTGGGGGAAAAGGGGGAGCATGTAACAATAGCAAGCATTTATTGAGCACTCACTATGTGCTTTTTAAAAATATTTTTTAGTTATACCTGGGCACAATATCTTTATTTTGTTTATTTATTTTTTGTGATGCTGAGGGTCGAACCCAGTGCCTCACATATATATGTGAGGCAAACCGTCTGTCACTGAGACATAACCCCAGCCCTCCCTATGCACTTTTACTGTTATTCATTGAATCTTTCACAAATCTGTGAGGTAGGTCGGTTATACTGTCCATTTTATGGAAGAAGAAATTGAGGTACTGAGAGAACATGGACATACCAAGGTCATATAACTAGTAAATGGCAGAAGCAGAATTTGAACCAGCTTCAAACACTATGCTGCATAGGAACCTGTGATTCCAGGGGGTGGGGGATTCTAGAGTTGGGGATGCTTCTCAGTTCTGTGGGGCTATGTGAACGTGTTGCTAATGTCGAATTAAGATGAAGTAACTTGATGAAAGGCAGGTGAGGAGCTACAAGCTGGGATAGTTGGAAGAATTATCAAGTTAAGTACTGGAGTAAATCATTGAAAGAGTTGTCCAGAAATGAGGTGGAGAGGAAAATTCTGAGTTGGCAGAAACGTGGAGATGAATAGAACCAGATGATTTAAGCATGACAGTGTAATGTGTGCAAGAGAAGAGCATATTCAGAGATTTAAGATGGTTCTTGCCTATAAGTGGCTCTTTGTTAAATTGGGCAGGTAGAACATTAGTAGATTATTGACAATAAATCATTAGTAGATTATTGACAACAAAATATTATATACTAATTATTAAATAAGAGATGTGTGTAGACCCTGAGCTGAGAAATTTTGCATAGAACTGGTCATTACTTGATCTGGAGCTAGTGAGGTCACTGAACTCCTGGTTGGTCTTTGTTACTTCTCAGGGAGAGAAAAGATCTTTTCTGCCCCATCTTGCTTTGAGGGGTCAGGTTCTTAGATATTTTTGTTTCGGTTTGGTTTGATTTTTTTACCAAAGCATTATAAAAAGAGCCAGAGTTAGTACCTACACAGGTGTGCGTGGTAGGAATACAAGTCTAAAATTTCTGTTTCTCCTACGGTTGACTCTTCTTCTCTCCTCTCCTCCATGGGGACAGAGTGGCAAAACAAGGTGTAGGTACAGCTTTACTTGGTTGTGATAATTTACCTTCTAAATGCTGAACCCACTACAGAAGAGGAAGGCCTGTGGAATACAAGGTATTATATGATCTATCAAAACCCTCTTATTCCTCTCATGGCAGAACATAGCGTCCTTCATTTAGCACCGCTCCTACCCTTTGTTCCAGAAGTGTGGTTTTCAGGTGGCCTGTCCCTCATACTACACTACCCTTCCTGGCACTGGGCTGGGCCAACTGATGTTCCTGTCTGTGATTCTTTGAATCAGGGCTAAGGGATGAGACTCCTTTCTTCTTTGCTGGTGAGCCCGAAAACCAGTGTCAGTGGCCTGCAGGGGAGAGTGGGGTCAAGTGTGTGAGCTCAGAAATGAACAAAGGCAGAGAGAGACTAGCTGCTTAGAGATGTTTCCAAACTGTTTTCTCCCTGGGGAAAAATTAAACCTGCAAGAAATAATCTCAGGAGGAAAAAAAAAAACCCACACTTTTAATGACTTGAAGAGAAGGGTTTCAGTGTACTTTCAAATGAGAACAAGAGAATCAGAATTAGTTCTGGGATTTGAATGCTGTATAAAATGACTCATTTAATGTGTTTGTCACTTCCCCAGCTTGGTGATATTTTGCCTCTTTGAACAGAGAAAGCATTGTGCTGAATAAACTTAGAGCATGTTATCTCTGGTACTGAAACTATTAAAGTTTTCTTCTTGTGATTTTTAAAAAAGCAAATGAATAACATAATTATTAAGGTGCAGAGCAACCCCCATTCCTCCATGATTCAATTTATTTGCAACACAATTAGCATGCACCTTAAATGTAACAAAACATAAACCGGTAATTCCTTCATCTCTCTTTGTCTTTAATCTCAACAATGAAAGCACCATTTCAGATTAATTGGGAATAATGGCCTACAGGGATTCTAGAATAGTTTTAGAGAAATCAATTTCTTCTACTTTAAGTTTACAGCTTTCACTAGGGTAATAAGACTTTGGCAAAGAGCTTTGAGTCACTTCATTATTTTTAATTATTTTTGGCACCTGACATATTGACTATTTTTTTAAATATTTATCAACTTTCAAAGTGCTTTATTCATGCATCTTAATTATACATAGGATTCATTGTGACATATTTCATACATGCACATAATTTGATCAATTTCATTTCCCCATTGTTTCCCCTTTCCCCTCTGCCTCCCTTCCTCTACATCTCCTTCCTTTCCATACCCTTCCAGTATTCTACTAGTCTCCTACTATTCTCCTGAGATTCCTTTTTTTCTTTCTTTGTCTCTAGCTTCCACAGATGGAACAAAACATTCAACTCTTGATTTTTCTGATCACGCTTATTTTACTTAACATGACATTCTCTAGTCCCATCCATTTACCAGCAAATGACATAATGCGTTTCTTCTCTATGGTTGAGTAAAACTCCATTTTCTTTATCCATTCATCTGTTGATGGATAGACACCTAAGCTGGTTCCATAACTTGGCTGTTGTGAATTCCATTGCTATAAACACTAGTGTGCATGTATCGGTATAGTATGATGATTTTAGTTCCTTTGGATAAATGCCAAGGAGTGGGGTTGCTGAGTTATACAGTGGTTCCATTCCCAGTGTTCATAGGAATTTCCATACTGCTTTTCATAGTGGTTGTACTAATTTGCAGTCTCACCCGCAACGTATAAGTGTCCCCACCCTCCTTGCCAGCATTTATTATTGTTTGTATTCTTGATGATTTGAGGTACTACTATCAATGAACTAAACCATATAATTTGTAACTAAACAGTTGATGTTTCTGTACATCTAAATGGTTAACATTTATTGCATAAGTACTATAAACCAAATACTTATATGTCTTATAACCATTATCTCTCTCATTTAATCCTCACAGTAGTCATATGATACAAGCATTGACTTCATCTTATAGATGAATACATTGAAATTTAGAAATGTTAATATGCCCAAGGTCCCATGGCTAACAATTTTGACCCAGATATGTAGATTTTAAGTTTATGTTCTTGCACTTTATATTGTCTCTGAGTTATGGATTGCCATTATACTTTTTTATGCATGGATTTTATCTTGTCATTTTTTAATCATCTTTTCCCTTTTCTTGGCATTCTTATCTTTTCTAGCATCATTTATTAAGCAGTTGTTATATGTTAATTAATGTACTAGGCACTCTAAGTACTGTATTCTGTCTCTCTTCTATTTTGCCACATCCCTGTCCACAGGTTTTATTGTGCTTTACTTAAAGGAGGGGGAAATTGGGTTTCAGAAAGAGTAAGTAATTTCCCTAACATCACAGTAGTAAGAGACTTGAAACGATAAACTCTTAAAATTTGAGTGCAAGTCTGCTAGGACAATGATGTATGTTTTAAACAGAGCGCTCCAGCTGCTACGTGGAGGGCCTGCAAGAGGAGCAGGAGTAGAGTTGCCTCTGAGATTCCGTTGGAGCAGAGGGCAGCAAAGGATTGCATGGTGAAAATAATGAACTCAGAAGACCCCCTGTTAATATTCTCACCAATGGCAGGGCTAAAGGAAGTGGAGTAGGCAGTGTGTGTGGTCAAGAAGGGCAGCCAGAAAGTGTTTATATGATCTCCAAGGGGGACGGTGCTCCTCAGGGTCCTTGGATGGTCTTTACTATGGCCTGACAGAGGCTCTTCTGGAGGCTGGAGGTCTCTCAAGTGCAGCTGTTAGGCCAGGCTCTGACTAGCTGCTGTGTTGTCAGAGGTTATAGCAGCCCAAGGAATCCTCAGGGTGAAAGCCAGTTTGTTGGCAGAAGAAGAGCAAATGTGATGCTTTTCAAGTATGCAGAGGACGCCCACACTTTGGCCATGGTTCTGCCAATAGATATGATAGATATGACTCTCCAGAGCCTTGAACAGTGGTGCTGTTCATTGCAAGGAGACAAACCGAGAGCTGGGGCTGAAGTTCAGATAGTCAGGTAGCACATGGGTAGAGATGATCATTCATTCACTCATTGAACATTTTGAGCACTTCCCACGGTCCAAGTCAGTGTTCTAGGCACTGGGGATTGAGCAAAGAATAAGATGAATTCTCTGCCAGAAGGAGCTCACATTCCAGTGAGAAGAGACAAGGCAGAACACACACTCACACACACACACACACATCACATCCATTGATAATAAATGCTATGAAGGAAAGTAAAACTGGATAAGAATAATACAGAGATGAGTGGGGAGGGAGGGGTGCCATTTTATATACATGGTCAGGGAAGCCTACTTTGTTGAGGTGGCACTGAATGAAGACTTGGAAGAAGTAAAGGGCAGCCACGTGGACAGTTAGTAGAAATGTATTATGGACAACAGAAATAGGAGATGCAAAGTTCGTGAGGCAGGAACATGCTTGGCAGATTGAAAGATCAGCAGGAGAACAATGGTTGAAGTAGGGTGAAGGAGGAAGAAAGCGCAGGGGATACATCAGAGAGAGAGAGACCTGTATGGACCACGGCAAGGACTTTGGATTTTACTCCAAGTGAAATGATAAACTCTTAAAATTTGAGCACAAGTCTGCTAGGATAATGATGCACATTTTAAATAGAGCACTCTAGCTGCCACGTGCAGGGCCTGCAAGTGGAGCAGGAAGACTAGATGACAGCTACTGCAGTCATCTGGGGAGAAATGACAGTGGCATGCACCAAGATGGGTGTGGAGAGATTGCAGTGGAGGTGCTCAGGACTGGTCCTGCTTAGATTTTGAAGGAATTGAAGATAAACTGAGCTAATGGGTTGTGTGAGCGGGATGGAAGAAAAGAATCGGGGACAATTTCAAGGTTTTGGTCTGAGCAAGTAGAAGAATGAGCTGGTCTTTACTGAAACAGGGGAGGGATAAATAGCCTGAGTTTGGTTTGCCTGGCAATTCAGAAACCAGAACCGAATGAGAGTGTGTGGGGGCTGGACCTCAAGTGCCCTTCCAAAACCTCAGCAAAGAAGAACTGGATTTGAGTCCCGCATGAGAAGAAGGGTAGAAATCAGGCAGTGTCCTAAAGAGGGAATGAATGGGCTCTAAACCAACAACAGATTGGACGGAGTGAGTGCTAGGATGAAAGGGGCAAGAATGTTCTCCATGGATTTTTGTTGGAGCCTTTGTTAGAACAGAGGGCTGCAAGGGGCACCAGGAATTTGAGAAAGAAGATCAAAGGGTAGAAACCGTCAGCAAGGCGCCAGGAAGAAGTGGGAGCTGACCTGAACTTCTCAGGAAGGTGATGAGTTTGGAATATCGAGGTAGAGGGGGAAGAAAGGAAAAGGTGCAGGGTGCAGGACGGACTGAGCTGGGAAGAATCACAACTGGACACCTGTCTGAGAATGGAATGGGTGTAGGGAGTTGGGCTGGAAAGCTAGGATGGGTCTCCATTATGAAGGGCTTTGAAAGCCCATAGCTGGACAGAGGAATCTGGTGAAAGTATACAGGAGAAAGAACAAGAAGCCAGATACAGCATATTTGAGTATGTAATGGTTTGAGTATATAATGCATTCATTATTGCATCCTTTCTAAATGATCTGAAAGTTAAAGTAACTCCACTTGTACCTTCATTTTCTCCTCCATCTCTATCATTCTGACCATGAAACTTGCACAATGAGTCCTAAGGAAGGTAAAGACTTGCTAACAGTCTTTCTACAGATAGGCCAATTCCCATCACATTCCCAGTAGGGACTGACTTAAGTTCCTACCCTAGTACAGCCTTTTAAATCTTTACTATATTGACTGGACCAGTCAAAATTTGGGTCCACTCTTAATGCCAGGAGAAATATACTATTTATAGGTGACCTTTCCCAGGCATATAAGGCATTGACAATGAATAGAAATGTAGTGACATATATAAGAATGTATCATAATAATACTGTGTCTATATGTTCACACACACACACATACACACACACACACACACACACACACACATATATATGTATAGCAAGTTGGAGACTAAAACAGGAGGATCGGAGGTTTAAGGCCAGCCTCAACAACTTAGTAAGGCCCTGTCTCAAAATAAAAATTAAAAATGGTTAGGAATATAATTCAGTGGAAAAGTATATCTGGTTTCAGTCCCCAATACTAAAAAATGTTATATTTTTATAAGTTGTGTGTGTGTATGTGTATATGTATATATACACATACACACACACACACACACACACACACACATATATATATATATATTTCTTTCTTTCTTTCTTTTTTACAGTGCTGGGGATCAAACCCAGGGCCTCACACATGCTAGGCAAGCACTATATCACTGAGCAACACCCATAGTACTTACACATACCTACTTTTTTTCTGAATAATGCTATCAGTTTAACTATAAGACATCAAATTTATGTTTTTATTGTATGATACGAATATTTGGGAATGAAACACTCTTTTCATTTTAGCAGTAAACAAACAAACCTTCCCCACTCACTTTTTCAGAATTTGAAAGAATATAATTTTATGCAACATTGAGGTCTGTAGATCCATCTTTTGTGTTCAGTATGATTTTGATGTTAAATGAAAAATTTATTGTTCTTGCTATTTATTTATGTTTTTAAAAATCTAATGAAAAATACCATAACCAAAATAATTTAATTTACAGATTACAGACAGCTGGCCAGGGTACGACTTAGATTTATTCACGTACCCACAGCACTATTACGGAGATTTGGAATATGTGCTCATACCCCATGGCATCATTGTAGACAGGTGAGTGGTATTTTTTGTGTTAACCTTGGTCTTGTGCTGGGCTGGCTCATTGTTTTGTGATTCCTATAATGTACTCGGGTTCCCTAGTCCAAGCCCCTTTTTAGAGTAGTAGAGACAATTTTATAGGACAGCAAATTTGGAATGCAATGAATTGGTGCTTTAACTGAATGCTATCCTTGGACATTTGTCCAGAGGGGATGCTAGGAAGACTACACATACAGAAGCTGTTGTAAGTACCAGCCTTACATGGACAATGTCCTGTACAAAGAGATGGAAATAGGTGCTGGGAAAGCACTGATTTCACCCCCAAACCTTTGCCTCGTGCCTTTCACAGACCCTTGAGTTAACCAGAAACAGTGAAGAGGTGGCATTGCCTTCACAGGACACGCCCTTAAAGCCCTTACTTTCAATTCTCTTGGAACAAGTAAAGTATCACAGGTCAGCCAGTCTTTGTACTATTGTGTTTTCTGGCCAGTGGTAATGTTTAGGTAATGACAGTATTTGCAGTTTAAAATTATCTGCAGAAAACTATTTCTAGTATACAATTTCTAGTTCTTTCCTACATTGACATCCTTTGGGTTTTGGGAGCTTGTTGACTTTTCCAAAAACATTTCTCCTAAAGCCCGTGGGGTCATGCCCACTTACTCTTGGTTTTAAGGGTCCACATCCAATTCAGCCCAACACAAGCATCAGGATCTATAGGTCATATCCTTTAACAAAACTGTCTTGATATCAAGATTATTCTTGTACCTCTAAGTTTTTGGACAAAGGTTGAAATACTTAAGCCTTCACATTTATATGGAAAGTGAGTGTCCTGGTGTTTATAAGGCACTTTCTGGAATCCTAGAGATTATCTAGAGGCCCAGATTTCAAATGGGGAAGGCAGTGGGGAGTAAGAGCAAGTTGAGACTTTGGGATCCCACAGGTACCCTTTCCTCAAGTCGTATAGTGTAGTTCCTCTGCCTCTAGTTCTTTAATCTGTTGTGAGTTAAAATTTAACTTTATGAACTAAGTACTCAGAACAAAACAAAGTTTGAAAAACACCAAATGGTCACCTTACCAGGATATTATATTTCCACCAATCCTGTCAGTAAGCAAACAGAAGCCTTATTCCTTTGTCCAAATTCTAAGATTTTGTGTTACATATGATTTGTATTTTGCTTCTTCTCCCAACTTATAATATATTATTAAAATAAGTTCTAGTTTCGGGTTTCTCATGGCCTCAGATGACTTTTTCATGGACTATAAGCCTGATTCTCCTAGGGGAGAAAAGTTCCATGATCATATAAGCTTGGGAAATTTTGTATTTCCCAGATTGGTAAATCTCCCAGTTGGCACTTGAAAACAAACATTAGCTTATTAAAATACAGAAAATGGCAGGGGGGACCTGCTTGACTTAAGAAATTAAATCAACTTTATTTATGTAGAGGGAGACTTTATATTGTTCACCTCTTTGTAACTTCTGAGAAGAGATTTCCCTTAACAGCAGTTTGGGAGGCTCCTAGTTTAAACAAATTTTTGCTTTTCTTACTTGAATTTTATGAATTTTGTTAATTGTGTCCAGATCTAAAACATGATTTAATACAGGATAAAGTGACCCTGGGCTTTCTCCTTGTATAGAATTATTCAGTGAACATGTTTTTATGTCTAGAAACCCTGAATCAATAGTCTGGGCTGGGGACCACGAATGTCCATTCTTACTTTTAAAATAAACATTAAGGTAATAATTATATACTACAAAATTCAGGTTGGTGAATGATTTGATGATTTTAGCAAACTTTTTTTTTTTGAGGGGGGTGGGTACAGGGGATTGAACGTAGGAGCATTCGACCACTGAGCCACATCTCCAGCCCTATTTTGTATTCTATTTAGATACAGGGTCTCACTGAGTTGCTTAGTGCCTCACTATATTGCTGAGGCTGGCTTTAAACTTGCGATCCTTCTGCCTCAGCCTCCTGAGCTGCTGGAATTATAGGCGTGTGCCACGGTGTCTGACATTTGGTTTTATTTTTAAGGCCAGCTTACCAGGTTTACCCCTGTGTTTAAATAGCACAGTGTTCAGTCTACAGTGGTTAGAAGACTTAGAGACACGAAGGCTCCTCTCTGTTGTTGGATGTATCTGTGGCTGGCCAATATGTTCAAGTTTCCAACCAACCTTTTTCAAGTCTTCCCTGGTTTTTACTCCCACTCTTCACACCCACCCCTAGCTGTCTTCCATCTCCTCCTCACATATATGTAAGCCTCCATCATTCAGGGATGTATATGTGTAGCCTCTGGTCAACTTGACATATATAATTGTGTACCCCTTCCCTGTGACTCCAGTCATCTGATCCCAACTTCTTGGCCAGTTTGTTACATAATTGTGACTGCAACTTCAGGGTAATGGAGCCATGCTCTTGAAGTGGCCAGGTAAGTTTACAGGGTTCCCAGTCAGGTGAATTCCCTGTGGCAGAATCCTATGCTGGTTGAACAACATGGGTAAACAGCTGGGGGGTGGGAGTTGTGGCGTGATGGACATCCCCAGGTAAGAGTGCCACTGACTTCTCTCCAGTATTCAGTGTTTTCATGATTAAGTGTCTACTTTGTTATATGCATTTGGTTGATTTCCAGAGTGCTAAAATGCCTGTTTTTGAATTTTGTCCCGCTTTGTTTGTTTGTAGACAAGATGTTGACCCTCTTATTCCACCATGCAGAAAAAAATGTCCCTTTTTAAGGAGCATGTCAGGTATTCTGATATGAATTCTTTGATGATCATATTTTGAGAAACATTGCCTGAAACTATGGTTACCATTCTCTCTCTATATATACATACATACATACCACATAAAATATATTATGCTGTATATATAGTATATATTAAGTGTATGTTGAATACATGTATTACAATTTTTTATATACGTGTGTGTGTGTGTGTGTGTATCACCTAGTTATCTATTTTAATCTAATTCTATTTGTTTGGAGTGCCAATGGGAATATTTTTAAAAGTATGTATCTTAGATCCCGTCTTCATTTAGATTTTGATGTTATATGGCCCACGGGCAATAGACTTATAGACAACTTGAAACAAATACAAGAACAGTTCGAACCAGCAGACCAAGGCTGTGGCTCTTGCACAACTCCAGGGGGCATCCTTAGCATTGTGCTCCCTGGAAACACTGCCTGTGGCATTGCATTCTGGAGCACCTTTCACACAGGCCATGTGCTACCTCTGTTGAATTACGAGACACATTATTCTTTTGATAGTTACAATAGGCTTGACTTTTCCTCCAGTCTCCTATAATATAAGGTGAGTGAGTCACTCTCCATTTCCTTTTCCTCTGCTATAAAGTTAACACGTCATCAGATACCATCATACATTGTTAACAACTAGGCACTGGGGTGATAAAATATTAGCATGCATGTCCTTTGACTTTGTACTTTACACCTTAATAATTTGTGTGACATGAAGAATCAAGAATGTGCCATTAAAGATGTAGCTATCAGAAGTATATTTCGAACACTATGTGTCCATCTTTAACAAAGCCTTTCTGTCTGTAGGTTTCTGTTCCCCAAATTTTTCTCCACAGTCCTCTGAATAACCTAATATGAATAATACATCATGCATTTTTATTAAAGGAACAAAAATGCTCAGAAATGGTTGCACTTATTAATATGTCTTTTATCCCTTACTGCTTTCAGAATTGAGCGGCTGGCAAAGGATATAATGAAAGACATTGGATACTGCAACATTATGGTCCTGTGTGTACTTAAAGGTGGTTACAAATTCTGTGCTGATCTTGTAGAACACCTTAAGAACATCAGCCGAAATTCAGATCAGTTTGTCTCTATGAAGGTTGATTTCATCAGACTAAAAAGTTACAAGGTAAGTTATTATAGGTTCCATTTTTATCACATGATATTTAAAACTAATAATGTCAGCATAAAAGTACTAATAAACTCATGAAAATGTGTAATTTTAAAAAATTGAAGTGAAAATGAAGAGTACAATTTTTTTCTTTTTAATTTGCAAGAGTACCACACTCTACTATGAGGATTCAAATTATATTATTTGGGGGAAGAAAAATAAAACTTCCTGTTTTCACATATGCAGAGAGACTCTTGAGGAATGATTCATGCATTTTTTTATGGTGATGAAGATCAAGTGATTATTTCCTGGTGCCCAGCCTCAGAAATGTGTATGGTCAGTGTTAAGAAAGTCCAGTAACTGCTGATGTCCTTCTACCCTGGATGTGTTCTTGGCCCTGGAGACCTATGCGAGGGTGTCTAGCCCAGAGAGAGACATAGTACTTGGGTTTCTGCAGTCATGAAGTGGTGACCTTTATAGAAGGGAAGCCTGTAGGGACAGCACTTTATCAAGTGTGAGGAGACCAGGCCAAGGAACCTCCAGTGGAAGACTGCTCCACCAGTTTATGATGGACTTTCTGGGGCCACCACTAGACAGAACTTACATGAATTATTCTCCAAGACATGGTCCCCTTAGTCTTCCCTTTATGATGTTAACTTTTGTGATGCTTTTTGATTCAATGAATAGTAAATCATTCAAACTAACTTACTATTGATTGAAGGACTCTTGGGGTCAAAAATCATGAAAATATTCTCATTGACTAAACTAGCTCAACAACATTTTAATTTATTAATGACTCTTTGAGTTGGCTTTCTATTTGTATAACAAAATCACCATGAACTTAATGGTGTAAATCCACACAAGTTTATTGTCTTGCAGTTTCTCTGGGTCAGAGGTCTGGGTTCTCTGCTCAGTCTTACTGGGTAGGAGTCAGAGTGTTAGCTCAGGATTTGATCATCTGAGGGTTGTGGTCACTTTTCCAGGATAACTGTTGTTAGAATTTAGTGCCCATTTCCTTGCTGATGGGAGACTAAAGACCTCTCCGTGCTTCTAGAAGCTGCCTTCAGGTCTTTGCTTCATGGATTCCTCCAAAGGCAGTTCACAACACAGTTAAGGTAACTTTCGCTTCTTCAAGCTGGATGGGAAAATCTCCATTCAGGAAGAGCCCAGCCTTTTTTTTTTTTTTAAAGCTTGCCTGATTAGGTCATGTTCACCCAGCATAATCCATTTTTTTAACATTTTTTAATAACTTTATCTTATTTATTTTTATGTGGTGCTGAGGATTGAACCCAGTGCCTCACCCGTACTAGGCATGCATTCTATCAATGATCTACAGCCCCAACCCCATAATCTACTTTCTGAGAAATTCAAAGTTAATTGACTATTCATCTAATCTTGGGAGTGATTTCCTGCCATATTTATAAGTTTGACTTACACTTAGGTAGCAAGGATTTTTCAGAATATGCACACCTGGGCTCAGCAGTCCTAAAGACCATCTTAACTTACCCCCCTCTTCAGATGATTCAATTGCCTCAGGTCTAAAGCAGCTGCAAATTCTCCTCATTTCTCAGGATATACACTCTACTTCCTGATGACCTCTCAGGTTGGGGTGAAGCTCATTTGTTGCAAATACCGTAACCCTAGCTTATTGGTTCTATCCTGCCTTGAAATGTTTTTTTCTCTTTAGTTTCCCTACATCTTGGATTAAGTAGGTGTGCTCCCTTCTTATGAGATTTTTTTTTTATCTCATTCATTTGCCTGATCCTCATTGCACATGTTCCTGATAAACAGCTCTTTTTAAATTTATTAATTTGTTTTACAGTAGAATGCATTTTGACATATTGTACACAAGTGGAGCACAACTTCTTATTCCTCTGGCTGTACATGGTACAGAGTCACTCCAGTAGTGTAATCATACATGTATATAGGGTAATAATGTCTGTCTCTTTCTACTGTCCTTCCCATCCCCACAGCCCCACCCCTCCCCTAAATCCCCTCTGCACAAACTAAAGTTCCTTCATTCTTCCCTACCCCCTACACCACTATGGATCAGCATCTGCTTAACAGAGAAAACATTGGCTTTTGTTTTTTGGGATTGGCGTATTTTACTTAGCATGATATTCTCTAGTTTCATCCACTTACCTGCAAATGCCATAATTTCATTCTTCTTTAAGGCTGGGTAATATTCCATTGTGTATATTACCACATTTTCTTTAACCATTCATCTGTTGAAGGGCATCTCAGTTGGTTCCATAGTTTAGCTATTGTGAATTGAGCTGCTATAAACATTGATGTGGCTGTGGCATAGTAGTATGTTGATTTTAAGTCCTATGGATATAAACTGAGGAGTGGAATAGCTAAGTCAAATGGTGGTTCCATTCCAAGTTTTCTGAGGAATCTCCATACTGCTTTCCATAGTGGTTGCACCGATTTGCAGTCCCACAGGCAATGTATGAGTGTACCTTTTTCCCCCGCATCCTAGCCAACATTTATTGTTGCCTGTATTCTTGATGGTTGCCATTCTGACAGGAGTAAGATGAAATCTTAGAGTAGTTTTGACTTGCATTTCTCTAATTGCTAGAGATGATGAACATTTTTTCGTATGTTTGTTTATCTATTGAACTTCTTCTTCTGTGAACTGTCTGGTCAGTTCCTTAGCCCATTGATTGATTGGGTTATTTGTTTTTGTTTTGGTGTTAAGTTTTTTGAGTTCTTTATATATCCTGGAGATTAGTGATGATAAACAGCTCTTTAAAACCCCTGTAAAATATTTTTTAAATGAAAAATCAAGTTTATTGAGATGTGATTTACATATAGTAACATTCATACCTTTTAGTTTACAGTTCTGTGAGTTTCAAGAATATGCAGTCATGTTAATCTTGGTGTGGAAATGTTCCTTACCACAAGAAATGCCCTGGCCTTTGTAGCCAGCCTCTCCCATAACTGAAGTGTTTTCTGTCCCTAGAGTTTTCTTTCTGTAATGTCATGTGCATCATACCTTGTAGTCTTAGTAATTCTGTTAATCTTAATATAATGCTTTTGAGATTCATCCATATTGCGTGTATCAGCAGTTCATTTGTTTTTATTGTTAAGCGGGTTTCCACTGCATGGATATAGTGGGTTTTTTTTTTTTAATTCATTCATTTAGCAGAAGGATACATGGGGTGATTATGAACAAAGCTGCTATAAGTGTTCACTTGCAGGTTTTTTGTGTACACTTATGTCTTCTTTTTCCTTGAATAAATATTGAGTGGCAAAATAGGTAAGTCATATGAAATTTCCAAACATTTTTCCAAAGTGAGTGAATACTTTTGCATTCCCTCCAGCAATATGTAACGGCTCCACATTATGACAGCACTTAATATTTTTACTTTTTCTTTATTTTCTTTTATTTTACCTAGTTGAATAGGTGCTAGCATCTCATATGGTTTTAATTTACATGCCTTGAATGAATAATGATGAATACATTTTCATGAGGTTATTTGCTATTCATATAGCTTTTTATGAAATGTTTGTCCAAATATCTTGCCCATCTTGCCCATTTTAAAAAATGAGTTGTTTTTCATTATCGAGGTTTGAAAGTTCTTTATGTACTTTGTGAATCCTGTATTAGATATGTGTTTTGAATATATTTTCCACTCTGTGAGATTTTTTTTGTACCAATAAAACCATTTGATGTGGAGTTTTCTTTGTCAGAAGTTTTTTAAACTAGGAATTCAATTTTTTAAAATTGATATAGGAGTATTCAATTTATTTTTCTTCTCGAGTGAACTTTAATAGTTTGTGTCTTCCAAGGTATTTGTCCATTTTATCTAAGTTTTCACATTTAAGGGCATGGAGTTCCTTATAATATTTCTGTATTACCTTTTGATGTCTGTAGGGTCTGTAGTGATATCTTTCATTCCTGATATTATTAAATCATACCTTCTGTCTTTTGCTTTTTCTTCACTAATATGCCTAGAGGTTTGACAATTTTTATCAACTTATGGCTTTATTATCTTACCTTTTTTTCAGTTCATTCAATTTATGCTTTTTTTTTTAACCACTTTAGCTTTTATCCTATTATTTCCCTCCTTCTGTTTGCTTTGGGATTAATTTGCCTTTAGGCTCTTAGATGTCAACTTAGTTCAGAGATTTGAGACCTTTCTTATTTTCTAACATAAATATGTAATGCTGTAGATTTTCCTTAAGGCCATTTTTAGCTACCTCCCACTGATTTTTGACATATTATTTTTTTATTCCACTCAAATATTTTCTAATTCCTTTTGTGATTTCCTCTTTCACTCATTGGTTATTTCATGATGTTTAATTTTCAAACATGATTTTCCAGAATTACTCTGTTTTTTTAGCTTAATTCTGTCACATAAATTTGTACTATACTTTATTAGATTTCAATCCTTTTGAATTTGTTGAGGCTTATTCTATGGCCTTGAATATAGTTGATCCTGCTGAAACTAATAGCACCAAACTCCATGTCAAATAAAACTATACTGCTTTTTCTAATTTTTCATGCCTTTTCATTGTCTGCTTCTTTAAATAGCCTCTATTTATTTTACCTTCACCTATAGGCACACATTCTAATGCTTATGTACCCTATTAACTCAGGTGTATGTGATACTAGTTCAGAACAAACTTTTGTATTTCTAAGACTCCAGGGACATGTGATCATCATTGCTATGTCTAGACAGATATTTTCAAATCACCATATTTTCCTGAGGCCAGGGATGTGGGGGTTCCTACTCAGGGTTCTGGGGGGGAAGAGGATGGCAATAGTTGTCATCAAATCTTTGCTGCCTTCATCCAATCTCACTCACTGTATACCTTAGCCTTTGTCCCACACCTTTAGTCCTTTGGGACCCAAGGATGATTGTGACGTCTCTTCCCTTCTTATCAAGTATTTCTCCTCTTGTGTGTCACCAGAGTGACTCAGATCATATTCTGAATGATTATCTCAGGTAAAACCCTGTCTGGTTGCTCACTCAGATGAGCCTTCCCCCTAATTAAATATGTTCAGAAAT